CTAAAATTTCTGGCATTCTTATTAGGCGCTGAATCCAGAAAAAACATTTTTTTATTATCATAGCCTATCAGAGTCAAAATTTATTTCATTATGGGGATGTGTTAGAAATTAATAATAAAGGTTGGTTTCTACAAGGCTTAAAGAAAGTATGCTATTTAAAGCTTAAAGCTATTAAAATACCACAAATTACTTGGTATCAATATTTAAATAAATAATACCTATTTTGAAGATTGCATTCTAGAACATATAAATACATTTGGAAGAATATTTAAAAAGATGAGACTAACACTTTTTTTTATACAATAAAGATTTTTTTTTTACATCTGTGGTTACATAAAGCTGAGAAATATAAACATCACATAAAATTAATTCATATAATTTTCTGAAACAACAAAATCTTTGCTCAAACTATACAGTGAGGTCAATGAGTTACCTAAACTCTGTTGTCTTTGCACTTTTCCACAAATCAGGGTACACAATGGGAATGCATAACTCCCTAAAAGAAGTACATCTCCAAGTTTTGGTGCGTGTGTCAAACAAAAGAAGGAAAAAGTTCCCTCACCCCAAAATGAGAACAGATGGGAATGTAAAATTAGATGGGAAGAGACAGTGAAGCTTTGGATGACCGACCAAGAAATCTCCCCTGAGAGGAGCCAAATATACCAGACCTCAGCTTGTTCTGCTTCCCAGTTAACTTTCAAAGTAAATCCAACAGGAATGTAAAGCAGTTCTTAGATTCAATGTATTGGTTTTGATTTCTGTAAGCACATATTTTATGAAGAAATTATTGATAAATATAAGTAAAAATATTTTATATTCAATATAAAGTAATCTCCTAATCATTTTTGTGAGTTTAACATTATTTCAAACTTAGACTGTCAACAATAAAATTTTTTTAAATAATAAAATAAATGGCTTACGAAAAAGAGGAAACAGGCATGAACAAACTTAAGATGTGAACACTGAACTCCTTGTATAATGAAAGTGCCATTTTGCTGTAAATTGAAAAACTATGTAAATAAAATATAAATATATTATTTCATTCTTATCCTATTTTATCTGTAGAACTAAAAATAATCTTAATAGTAATGCAAGCAATATTTCCTATACCTACCAAAAAAGTCCCTTTACTTGATATCTAATTTTATATGGCATGAAAATTTTTCTATCTAAAAATACCAACTTTAAAATAATACTCTCTATAATGCTGCATTCTCTTTTTTTTAATATGGGTAATAATTTGGAATTTTATAAAAATAGAAAATCATGCTCTCAGATTATTTAATGCATTTTAAAATAGTGTTATGCATAATCATTATATTAATTATTAAAATATAAAATATTATTTTATAAATATCACTTTATTTGACAATAAGATAATAATCATTCAAATACAATTTTTAAGAGCAACTTTGTAAGATTAGCCTTGAGCTTTTAAAGAGGTACCAAATATCTCCCACAAAACAGTGTTTGTCGAGATTATTTTGTGTATGCTCACTTTCACATAAAATTTACATTCACTGATAAAACAAGGAGAATAATTCAGTCTTTTAAACAACAGTGTTCAAATTTATAGATCATTCTCATCCATAACTTCAAACTTATTTTCCAAGACAACAAGGAAAAGTTCTCTGTGTACCTTTTTCCTGCTATCTCAGGAAACTGGCTTTCAATATCTTAACCCTGTTTCATCTTTTTTAACCTTGCTAAGTATACACAACAAAAAGAAATACAGAAATATGACTCTTCCCAAGTGGAGAAAGCAACTACACCTCACATGTAAGTGATTTCAGCTTAAACAACCAAAGGCCCAGGTAATTTGGCTTCATTGTAAACAGGGAATGAGGCCTTCCATAAAGAAGATGCTCAGTACATTGCATTTAGTTGAATGTGTGCAAGAAATAATTATGGAAAAGTAGATTTTGCTATTCAGAATATTCTAAATAATATGTAATCATTATTACCAAAAAAGAAGAAAATCTCTCAAGACATCCAGCTTGCTTTCTCGTTTTCTCCCTTATCAATGTATTAAAGCCAACAAGCAAAGCTTTGAGGATCCTATGTTGACTATATTTTATTAAAATTCATTTTCCACACTTTCCATTTGTGCAAATGAAATAATTAAGCAAAAACTGTGAACATTTTCAAATTCATCTACATATTAATAAGTCAAATCCTAATTTCCCAAAATATCAAATGCAGATTCCCCTACAAACTTTACATTATTGCCTTAATGCATTTTCTTGTTAGTTGGTTGACTGATTTTAACATGGAAAACAGAACATTTTATAATAAATCTGAAACTGCTATGTTCACCTTGGAAGTTGGGGACTTTGAATAAAGAATGCACACTCATACACACAATATCTACTCAATATTCCTGTCCAAGTGTCCTTTCAAACCAGGTAAGTCACAAGCACTCTGGATGACAAACACTTAACTATAAAAGGAACATGTTTGGCTTACGTTGTTAGGATTTCTCAAATGGCAGATACCCGAGGATCTCTGGGCATATTCTTGGGAGTATTAGAGATTTACCAAGTGTCTTGTTTTATTTTGGTGTCTTCATATAATGATATAAATATAATTATATTCTAGTTAATCTCTTTCACTACTTTTAGCACTATTAATATCACATAATTTCAGAATCTGATTTTGATACAGTGTTTATGATCTTGTTGGTGCTAGCTTTTTATGCTGTGTTTAACTCACAATATGGTATTCCTCAAAATGCAATTCATACATGTATTTTGGGGGCCTGAGAATTATTTTTCTGTCAATATGAATCCACATATTAACCAAGACCAAGAGACACTAGATTAGATAATCTTTCTAACTCCTTCCCAGTTCCAAAAAATATGTTACATCCTATTGCAGCTTACTAATAATTTATGGAGATCAAATTTAAAAGGTACACTTAGAGAAAGCTAACTTCACAAGAGGAATTATATATATTCTACTTGTTTTCCTTTTATAGTCAAATGCAAATTAAATTTTAGATATAATAATAAGATGTCATTCAGTCAGAAAAACAAAATAAGGCTGTTAGATAAAGGTTCCATTAGCAATAGTCACTGTCATTTCAGACGGTTGAGTGGACAACAGAAAATCCTAGTTACTTTTTTTCAGTTTTGTCTCTAACTTCAATAGCACGTTGGTGTTGAAATAATTCATTCCAGCAACCATCATTTTTTACAAAGTCAGAACATTATGATACTCAATGAATAGAATGACAATAAATACCAGGTACTTATGTCATATGATAAGCAATATGTTTCAAATTTTAATTTACTTAATAAATAGAAAAATAATACATCTATTAAGTTTTCTTTTTTAAATTTTGTTAGTGACAACATATATAACAGGTAAAATAAACAGTACATTTTGTTTCTGAATATGGATTATTTTGATCTAGCTTTAAAAACATTTATTTTTAAATTTCCTTCATCTAATTTCAAAATAGAGTGTTGTCAATTATAACTAAAAGATATTTGATTGGTAGAAATCATTGTTTACTGGTTAAAAGTTTAAAAATAAAAACATCTGGGGGGGGCGCAGGATAGGGAAAAGGATATCTCGGGGGGAAAAGGAGAAACATATGTAACAAAAATAAATGAATTAATTAAAAACTAAATAGAGCCCTGACCGGTTTGGTTCAGCCATTAGAGTGTCGGCCTGCGGTTCACAGAGACCCGGGTTCAGTTCCCGCTAAGGGCGCGTACCTCATTTGCAGTTTGGCCCTGGCCCTGGTTGGTCATGCGGGTGGCAGCCACTCGATGTGTCCCTTTCACGTCGATGTTTCTCTCTCTCTCTTCCTCTCTCTCCCTCCCACTCTGTCTGAACAAAAAATTGAAAAATGACCTCGGGTGAGGATAAAACAAAAACAAAAACTAAATAGAAATAAAAACATCATTTCTCATATATCATAATCTTATATCAAGTTTTTAAACAATATACTTTTTTTTTTTAATCCTCATCCGAGAATATTTTTTTTCCATTGATTTTTAGATAGAGTGAAAGGAAGCAAGACAGGGAGAGAGAGAGAAGCATCGATGTGAAAGAGACACATTGATTGGTTGCCTCCTGCATGATCCCAACCAGGCTAGGAACCAAACCTGCATTCAGGTACATGTGTGCCCTTGACTGGGAATCAAACCTGAGACCCCTTAGTCCTCGGCTGATGCTCTCTAACCACTGAGCCAAACTAGCCAGGGCTTAAACCATGTACTCTTAAAGGAATTCTCTATTGATAAGTATTTTAACAATAAAATCATCTTAACACCTGTAAAGTAAAATGTTTGCAAACTACAAAGATAGTCTGAATTTAAAATGCAAATACTTTACATTTAAAATATAGTTATATAATTTTTAATTTGAAAACTTAGGGAAAATGAAACTCATTTAAATCATCTTATTCATATATGTGATGCAGATGTGAATAAAAGTTTTAAGTAAAAGTTCTCCATAAGGAGGTATATATGCAGCATCTTAACTGAACACTTTTAAACAGAAATGTTTTAAACCATTCCTAAAGTTTTACCAACAGTATAACAAAAAATGACTAAACTAATACATTAAATTATTGAGTTTTAAATTATTAAATTTACATTTTGACATTCATTTTTTTGTAAGGTGAAGGCAGGAGAATCTAATATCAATATTAGAGAAACACATTTCATAATAAGCTTAAGTTTTATCATGAAAAAAATATCACATTCAAATTTAAAAGAGTTGTACTGTTACCCTAGCAAACATGACTGACATTAGTTTATTAAATTCATTTAAAACGTTCTTCTTATTATAAATCTTCAGCTTGTATTATTTTAAGATTTCTTTTCTAGATGATGTAATTAGACCATTTACTAAACGACAGTGGAGTCAAATGAAAAATATACATTTCCAAAACATGCATACTTATATATTGTGATAAGTAATTTTTTCTTGGAATAGACACATGCAATTGCACAAATGTTAAAATCAATGCCAAAAAGTTACTCTACCTGAACTGTAGAGCTGATCTCCGATGCAAAGCCGCCTGTCAAGGGAGCCTCGTGACTGATTAGCAGTCGCCCTGTTTTGATCACAGACTGAAAAAGAAAAGGAAAACCTAATGTTGAAGAGAATACATATTTTCAAGCATATGATGGTAGTTTTGATTAAGCAATAAAAATAAATTATTTAAATTCAATAAATAATAAAAATTTAGCAATTCCATTCTATGCCAAATATGTTACAACACAACTCTTTCAACTAGACAGTCATTTGATTTTTGCCCTATAAAAGTTTTTCAATATAATTTATAATCCTAGTAAAAAATGAGATTTGTAATTCTATGCATGTCATCAAAATATATTTCATTATAAAATATTTTTGTTATAAACGGAATTATTGTAGTTTATATTTTCATATCTCAATCTTTTTTCTTCATAGTAATTTAAGAATAAAAGTGGTTTTTTAAAACACTTTTTGGGGTATATTTGCATATAAACAAACAGTCTTAGGAAATACCGTTTTGTGGAGAAGGAAAATACAGAAATAGCATGTAAACTCTAGCAAAGGAAAAGTTAATGCTACAAGATATTCAAGGAGACCTAGCAGGAAGAAATCATTGCAAAACAAATGTTTACAACCCTCTTCGTCTGTGTGCACTAAAATCTGGTTAAGAACCTCAAGTCCATTTTAACATAGAAAGTGTCACAAATAATAAAAATGTATTCTCAATACTGGTTCACATTGTGCATGACATACTCTGTTCAATTAAATTAAAAGGCATAGCTATGACATCATAGCAGGATACCAGCTTTTTTGAACGCTAAAAAATATTAAAAATAACAGCAGGTTATTACCTAAAATATGCTGAACAATTACCATATTACCAAAGAGAAGTGGTAATTCTTCTTCTACATTTCTAATAATTTATCACCTTCCTTAAATTCCACATTACTGTTTCATGAATATAAAATAAAATCTTCCAAGCAAAAATATATACATAAATTGTTTTCCTTCATTCTAGGCAATTAGAGTTTAAAATTTTAGAAGTATGCAGCAATTTAAACTAGCAGATATTAAACTCCAAGATAAGCCAGTATCCATGACAAAAATAAATTACTGTATCTACTAAGTAATTAGCCACTGAAGAACAAAATTTTAAGAGCACCATACCCACCCCCAATGAAATGCTAACCTTGGAATATCAGTGTTTGAATTTTTAGAACTGTGATTAATTATGGCATTTATGACACTCACAACTTTAAAATTTTCCCATGAGTTACTCCTCTTTTTTTTTTTTTTTTTTAAGTTTTGCTCAATCCCTCCATCCCACCCCAACACCTTTCCCACCAGAGCTGTCACAAATTAAATTTAATGTATCTGGTTAGAAATATAAAGAAACAAAAATATTCCACAATCACAAAAAAATAAATGTATTCTCAAATAATTCTCCAAAAGATGTGCTGATTTTCAAAAATTATTGACTAAACAAAAACAGAATTAACAATCAGATTTTTCTTGCCCTGGCTGGTTTGGCTCAGCGGTTAGAGAATCGGCCTGCGGTCCTGAGAGACCCGGGTTCGGTTCCCGCTAAGGGCACATACTTCGGTTGCAGTTTGTCCCCGGCCCTGGTTGGTTGTGCAGGTGGCAGCCACTCGATGTGTTCCTTTCACATCGATGTTTCTCTCTCTCTCTCTGTTCCTCTCTCTCTCTCTCTCCCACTCCACCTGAACAAAAAATGGAAAAAATGCCCTCGGGTGAGGATAAAAACAAAAACAAAAACAAAAAAAAAACAATCAGATCTTTCTTATAGCTCAAAAACCCAGACCCTCTGCTACTGTAATAGTGTCTCAAGATGACAGTCAAAATCCACCCCAGTTAGGCAATGAATCTTAAATTTCTAAGAGGTAGAAATGAGAAACTTCTATAAAAATGCTACTGCTACCTTAAATCTCCACACAGCTGAATTGGTACTCTCAGCTGAGGCCTAGCCAAGATCAAATGACAACCTTCAGAATGATCTCCAAAGGCCAATAAGCAACCTAGGCTTCCTATAACCTGCACAGGGTAGTGGGGAAACCTAAGCACAGAAGTATCCACGACAAAAGCTTCCAACTCTTGGAGTTCATACAACACGATGTGCAAGCAGATGAAATCCTGAGACCTTGAGTGTGTATCCACAGGAAAAAGGCTAAATAAACCCAGATATATCAATATAATCAAGTATTACACAGCCATGAAAAAGATTGAGAAGACTTAGGACATGAAATAATGCCCATAAGTTTGACAAAATAAGCAAATCACAGAACATTATAATTTCATTTTTGTGAAAACCACCACCACAGCAGTAAGGACACCAATAAGCACAGCCATATACATATTGAGCCACACATGAAAACAATCTGAAAGGATTCATTCCAAACTATCAAAACTTATTTGATCCAGTGATCCCACCCCTAGGAATATATCCTAAGAAGCCTGAAACACCAATCAGAAAGAATATATGTACCCCTATGTTCATAGCAGCACTATTTATAATCGCTAAGATCCAGAAACAGCCCAAGTGTCCATCAATAGGTGAGTGGATAAAAAGGCTGTAGTACATATACACGAGGGAATATTATGCAGCTGTAAGAAAGAAAGATCTCTTATCCTTTGAGACAGCATGGAGGGGCATGGAGAGCTAAGTGAGATAAGCCAATCAGAGAAAGACAAATATCACATGATCTCACTTATTTGTGGAATATAGTGAACAAAACAAACTGATGAACAGAATGGACCCAGAGACATAGAAGTAGGGTACAGACTGACAAACCTCAGAAGAGGAGGGTGGGGGGAGGGAAGAGTTAGACCACAGAACTTATATGCATGTATGTGTAACCAATGGACATAGACAACTATGCTGGGAGGGGGTGGGGTGGGACTGGGGGGAGGGTGTCAATGGGGAGGGGGAGAATGATCTGTAACAAAAATGATAAACATAAATAAATAAATAAATAAATAAATAAATAGCTTTACAAAGCAAAAAAAAAAAAACATTTCTCTGGAAGAATGACAGTAAAGGATGTAGAGAGAAGAACCTTTTGTTTTTTACTTTATATAAGATATTTTTATATCATTGAAAGTATTCTCAATAAGTCTAAAATAAATACAAATAAAGGGAATGCGTATGAATTAATGCTGAAGGCAACAAAGACATATTATGTTGCAGTCATAATTTCCTCAAAAAAAATATGATGTTTTTTCTGGTGTTGTAAGTCTAGTTTAAGATGCAAGAAAACCCAAACTCTGGCAGCAAATAGGCACACTAAAAACACAGGAAATCAGTCTCCCCATGGCAGTCCCTGTATGTTCAGCTACAGGTCAGGGTCCTATCCAGTCCATCTCTTGACCAGTAAGCTCTTGGATCCTAGAGAAACAGGGAAATAAGCTATTGGTATCAGAGAAGGTGAAGTTTTTCAATGCCTCTGTATGCATATTATGTAAACATGTGCATTCTTGAACAGTTAATGAAGTAAATCCATAATTTCTAAAACATCCAGAGCTAGAGGGTAGACACAATGAAAAGTAGTGATGCTGTGAGTTTATAGAAATTGTCAGGTATACAAGCTAGTGAGAGAGAGACAGTGTGGCAAGAAGAGAGGAGTCAGAAATAATTATCATAAACAATTAATCATCACAGGATTTGCTATGTGCTAGGCTTTGATCTCAGCATTTTACATTGATTACTTCACTCAATTTGGAAAGTACCTATTTCATTTTTGCTTCTTCAAATCAACTCTTTGATATCTGAAAGTATTAAAATATATAAAACAAATCACATCAAAATTCTGAAAAATGTCAAAAATTAGAAGTAAAACTGATATTTCAAAGTCAGACCCTTAAATATAATTAGCATATGTCATTAAAAGATTGAGTCTGTAAACACAGTCCAATGATTTTATAAGGTATAATATAAATTCAACTTGGTATATGCTTTTTATCCTTCATAATTTTAATTCACTGATTTCTGAAGACAGCTCCTTTACTATTTTGTAAATTATTAACACTTTGTTAATATTATAATGAGATCATGCAAATCTACAAGTTTGAAGAGAGTGTTACTCTATCTTTTTGTGTGTGATTCAACTACATATTATTGTCAACTGTAACAAGCAATTAATTTTTATACACTGAGGCACAATGACATATAACTACCAGGAAATTTTTCTGGCCAAATGTAGCATTTTGATGTACTTAGTAAAAATTAATATGGTGCCTTTCAATGAAAACAGCTGTTAAATATTTTTAAATAAATAACTATAAATATAAATACAAATAATACTTTAAAATTGATAAAATCAATCTTAAAGTTTCAAGTTTTCTTTTGAGATAAATGCATTTCATCACTTTAAAAACGTTTTAAAGGTGTAAAGAACTTTTCAATATGAAAGCCGAACTTAAGAAAGCAAGAAAAGATCACATAAGGCTGGATTTTCCAGAATCTCCTTCTTTACCTTTTTGCCACTAAAACCTGCTCCAAGGACTCTAGCCTTAGGCAGAGGGAGCACCAGTAAGTTAGAAGGGACAAAAGTACCAGGAAAGGCTGTGCCAATTAAAGATTGGACTGTGAATAACTGTTCTCTGTGTCCTCTTCCACAAAACAAAAGGGCTTTATTCCCTACAGGGTCTCAAGACCATGTGTCAAGAAAACTTAAAAAGCAATTTTGAAAGAAGGCAAGGAGTGAAACTGTCTGTGGGCTGGTAAATCAGTCAGCACTGGTCTGCCCTGGATTTCTCCCATAGAATCTCACTCTTGCTCACTATTGCAGTTCGTTGTCCCCTTCCCAAGGGCAACAACAGAATACTATTACCAGAGGAGCTATCAAAGTATAAGCTCCCAACACAGAACAATACTGTCAACAATAGACAGACAGATCACTATACCCCTGTTATGATAGAATTCCGAAGATAACTTGTTCCTGGTTTGGGCTACTTAATAACTGTATCCCATTGTTCACCTTCTACCCAGACATCATTACTAATGGCCATAACGTCAAGTTATCTAGGCAGGGTACCTAGCACAATGCTCAGAATACGGTAGATGTTCAAGAAATCT